AGATTATCTAAGCATTATTCGCAAACATTGCTCCATTTTCGCAGCATATAAATGCAGGTAAACCGTCCTTTGTCCTTTGTAAACGAACTAATCTAACTAATAATCTTCAAAATAAATCCTGCATTATTAAATACATTTGATGCATAAGTCGGATTCACAGATCCTTTTTTAATAGTTCGTAAATTCTACGAAACTGTTTGAAGAGGGAAAAATTGAAATTTGAAATRAAATCATAAATTATTAAAAGTGTACATGRTTTCMGCAATTATTTAGGATCTGATTAAGAGAAAAATTGAGAATCCGAGACAAATATATGTTTGGGCTCTTTTTTGTCGAAAAGTGACTGAAATGAAACARTTCTGTTGAATAGGTATTTAAGCCGATTTCAAATTAAACATTGAATCGACACTATACATACATACATACATGTATGCTAAATAAATATATTTATTAGTTATAAGATTATAGTAGATTTAATTATAAATCAAACTGCACTAAAAAATAGATTCTTGAATATGGATGGCGACTCTGCGAACTGCAAAACTGCTACAAAATGTTTTTCTTTAGCTTGTGAATAATGCACGTTTTGAATTGGTCTAAGAGACCAATTTAAATTAATGAGATATAAATTAGAAAACACTACAGCCTCTTAAGCAACTCCAGCACTAAAAAACCGGAACTTACAAACTTGCAACGGTCTTTTATATAAAGCGATTTGACAAAAATGTCCTAAAATTATTTGTTTTTAATTTTTTGAGACTTCACTCACAAAATATAAAGTACAATAAATGGCAATAAATATCGCTCCACTTTGACTACTTGAGTTGGAAAGCATTACATCTTTAAAATTGTGTTAATCCCTTGACAATCACTATTTTGATTGATTTTGGACGATAAAATCTCAAATTTACACGAACGAATATTCAAATTTCCCGGTATTAGTTAATCAAACGACCAAAGGTGTGACGTCGTGTCGTGAGTGTCAACACTCAACGTTTCACTTGACATTTGTTATTTGTTTGAGTTCCTGAGCGGATACACATTAATATGGTAAGAATTTCCTTATAAAGCAAATAATTTCATTTAAATTAATACGAGCAGTTACGTACTTAACTGTTAATTATGTTCTACTTTTGCAGGCGAATTACACTGAAGATCAGATGGCCGGTAAGTGAAAAAAACTAGGTTAAATCGCCCCTCCTTTGTGAGTCATTCTGTATGTCTTGAATTTCAACTTTTTATTTTTCTTTTTTTGTTGATGAAATCAGTGGATTTGAGCTCAAAGTTTTTAGTCACCTTTTGTGTTATTAGAGTTTTGTATGCTCAAAATTACCGACGCAGATACACTGATTTAAAAAACTTCACGGGTCAAGACACTGGGAATAAAGTCCAGTATAAATATTTAGCAAAGTGGAAAACAGAAACGTAATTTATACCTAATATGGTAAGATTTCTTCACTGGCAGTCTTGCTAAACCAGGTGAGACAGATGTTTTCTTGAAATATGCTCTCGTTAAACAGTTGCGAGTGAAATTCTGCGGCGATAACATTAAACATGTATTTGTATGAGCCCCCTACAAAACTCACTTTAACTTCAGTGGAAGGTTGTTACGAAATACATTGTTTATTGCACATTTTCAGTAATTTTTTGTTGTTTTAGAGTTCCAAGAAGCGTTTCAGTTGTTCGACAATCGAGGTGATGGCAAAATCCATGTTGCCCAAATTGGCGACGCCCTCAGGGCTCTTGGGCAGAACCCCACAGAATCCGATGTGAAGAAGTACACCCATCAGTACAAACCTGATGAGAGAGTTTCATTTGAAGTATTCCTGCCCATCTACCAGGTAACTGAAACATTTATTTCTGAAGTTATTTAGGGAATTGAATCATCATCAGATCCGTAAATGTCTCAAGGCTGAGCGCTGAAGTCTTATAAGTACATTCCTTCTATTTGCGATAAGAATGGAATTTCTGGATTATTTTCCTTTTTTAAGCGAATTTCAACATTATATCCTCGCTAAGCTTGAGTCACTCGTTTAATCTCCGCCAGTCTTATCTCTCACACCTTAGCTAAGTGGCATTTTATTTTTTAATTGTCCGAATTAGTCAAGCTTATAATTAATTAGCTCTTGTAAAAATAGACGTCAATTTTTAATTTGTTTATCAACGTTAAATCCTAAATTCGGGAAGATGAGTGGATGCTTTTAGCAGTTGCAGCATGCTGCACTGCTATTTTTACTCTTAATTGGGGTGTTATGTTACGGTAATAGACGGTTCGAATAACTGCAGTTTTGCCATTCTTGCTTCTATTTCTTTGTTAAAATGCACTCTACTGATTTTTGTAGTAAGTTGCAGAAAGTTTACAACAACTAATACAAAGCAGTTTCGAAAGTTTAATGAATATAATTCAAATAATTTAAGGGGTGCCATTAAACAATTAGGATTTTCTCTTGAAGTTTGAAGAACCCAATCAACAAAATGTTCAACGTTTTTTTATAGATATCTAATAATTACCACTTTTTATAAGCAACAACATTTTCAAATAGATGGCCAATTATCTTAACTCTCGAAATTGCAGCATATTAACTTATTCTGTCAGATTTTATCCACTTAATGTGTAGTTGGTAATAACTTTAATATTATCTTTATATGAAATAATAATTTTTTACCTTTTAATGTTTGTTTGCAGCAAATCTCAAAAACGAGAAGCGCCGACACCGCAGAAGATTTTATTGAAGGTCTTCGCCATTTTGACAAGGATGGCAATGGTTATATAAGCGCTGCGGAATTACGGCATCTACTCACCACTTTGGGAGAAAAGCTAACAGACGATGAGGTAAGAACCCTTTATATTTCCCATATTTAACTCTCTAAATGTTTGCGTTTCAATAATAACACATGCAATATACCGTGTTAACTTTATTACGTGGAAATGCTAACCACTGATTCAGTTAATTCATTTTTACTAACAGTCTCTTTGGACATAGTGATATATTTTTCCTAAAACTACACCCATGAATGTAACATTCATATTTTCCTCTATAAAAGGTGGTGATAGTTTATTTATGCAGTTCTTTTGTGTTATTTTATATGAAGCATATTGTTTTTAAAAAGGTTGGAGAATTGCTGCAAGGCCAGGAAGATTCACAGGGCAATGTGAACTATGAAGAGTTTGTTAAACTAGTAATGTCAGGTTAATTTAGTACCTTAAGGTATGAAATCATTATCTTTTATAAGTAGCCAGTTAAACACTTAAAGCTCTTTATATTTGTTTAATAAGTCCTTGCTGAGCCCTTGTGAATTAGGTATAGCTATGCATTTATGTTTTTATTATATTTTGTATAATGTTGCAGCCATTCCAATTTTATACCCATAACTTATACTAAAATTACTAAGTCAACTATAGAGTAAAAATGATATCTTGAATAAAGGTAGTTATAGAAAACAAGGATTTTTATGGAAAATCGCCAAATTCCATTTCCTGTTCCCCTCATTTCTTTCTAAATTGAATCAGATACATAAGTGTCATACATTAGTTTATCGGCTACATTTCCCACTATCCTGCAATGTTGTCTAGGGGCCAAAAGCCTAACATTCTCTCAATGATTTGTTTCCGTAACCTTTCACGCCAACAATTATGGAAATCAACACCAATAAACTAGATATATTCCCACCGGGCGGAAATATGTAAATGCATCGAGTCAATAATTCTTTGTCTTTGGTCAAGCGTTATGTATCCGCAATATTGCGTAAGTGCCTTACTTGCACACGAACCAGTAATAAAATCTCCAATTAAGAAACTATTTTGCTTTGTGACAATGTAACACTAACCTTAGCCTTGAAACAGGGCAATATTTTCTTTAGGCCTCACCTATTTTTGTTCAATAAATTGTTACGTAGTGGTTCACTTTTCTGCTTTTCCTTATATGCGCGCCGTGAAAAGTTGTTAATTGAATAAATTATCAGGTGTAAATAAATGCACTACATTCGTAGGATTTAAAATAAATAGCCTTTATTCACAATTTGCTACACTCGCACTTATTACAATACAACGCCGCGTATATTGCTTACAATCTATTAAAAAATTACTTAGTTTGGCAATTCATGAACTACAGGGATTAGGATTTAAGATATGCGTCGTTCGCAGCCTGCAGAAGACTTAGATGTAAGCCGGAGATCTTATAGGAAGTAATAGACGAAAGCAAGAAAATAGAAGATATAGCATAGAAGGCAACAATCGACGCAGAACATTTCATATTTTGTTCTTAAATATACTCGAGCATTTTTGCAACATGTTGTCAGCTGGTGCTTGCACTTAAATCATCACAATACTAAGAATTTTGATGTTTTAATGGCCACCGCAGAAGGGATAGTTTGGACAAGCATTGGGATCAACTCCAGCAGGAATACGAGCACCTGCTCCATTGGGAAGACCAGCTGGAGGGCCTGCGTTCCATGCGGGAGCCTGGTTCCAAGCGGGAGCTTGGTTATCTGGAAGAAAACATTTTTTTAGGTGAAATGTCCACTGCAAAGATTTTGTGCATAAAACATTATTTCTGCGTTCGGAAAGCTAATGTAATATTAGCGTCAACTGCAAAACGAATTAACACTCCATTTACCATTATTCCACTTGTTCCATCCTCCAGCATTTTCATAGCCCGGTGCCAGAGCTTCCGCCAATCCTTCACCGTGATAATCCCCATCCCCAGTGTATCCACCTTTGTCCAAAGCGTTTTGGCCGGATGGGTTCCATTGAGGAACAGGTTGGGGATTATAGTTGTTCCATTGAGGTTGAGGCGCGTTCCATTGAGGTTGAGGAGCGTTCCATTGGGGTTGAGGAGCCTGATTCCATGCGGGTTGTGGTTGAGGCGCACCCCAGTTGTTTTGAGGAGCGCCGGAGCTGACGGCTACAGCTGGATTGGCACAATTGGGGAAGTTGGGGCAAGCTTGTGGGGAAACACCAGCAGGATAAAGGTCAGCTGGAAGCCCACCAGCCAATGGGCCGTTGTAGACTGCCCAAGCTGAGGTAAGGCAAAGAGCTAACGTCACCTAAAAAACCATAAAAAATAGTTAGATATTGTTTTGAATATTTTTCTGCATTTGCCCGCTTTCGTGGATATATTCGGTATTAATCGAATCGGTTGATACGGTTTTACCGATAGACCCTGTTGTTTACCGGATCTAACGTCGCTAGATTTTTGTAAGGTATTATATTGTACGATCTTTTTTAATTAATCTGGAAACATTTTACCAAAGAAAAATCGTATTCAATAAATCCGTTAGGAAACAAGTGATCAAGCGTCTGACAATGGACATTTTTTTGTCAGGACCAACCATTGGTCAATAATTAAAACATTCAATTCTCCTTCCAAGTTTTCTATTGTTATTCCAAAAAAACTATAGAAATGTTAGTGCTGTTTTCTTAAAAAACATGTTATAGGTCAATTCGGAATATTAATTGTAAACCGCGGCTTTTGACACAAATGTTAAAATCACGATTTGCTTTGCAAATTCGCTTTACTGGCATTTTATACAATCTTGTTTCTACTATTTTTGGTCAAAAACATATCAGAAATATAAATACTTTGGTCAATTAATTATTCGATAGGTACAAGTTGCTAATGAAAAAAAAATGTTGATTGGTTAATTTCTAAGAAAATTGCATGAACAACATACATGTTTCACTTTCTCAAAAACCATTTCATTTGGACGTAGGTCCGTTTTCTTCTTCAATTTTCTTTTAATTTGTATGCTCATTCTTTGCAATATACGATATTGAGATAATATATACGATATAATCAGGTGCCATAAATATAAACATTTAGTCAAACTTTTTTTTCGAAGATCCAACCGAATTAATTCGCAGGATAGAAATTTATTCTTCAAACCTTTGAGGTAACCGTTACTATTATTTATTTCGGTTCAGTTTTTTTTCTCGCATCGTAATTCCCAAATTTGTGAAAATATATTTTTGGTTCTATAATAAACTCAATTTTAAATAGCTTTATTAGTTTGTATTTCATGAAATACCTTCCATAGGCATTTTTGAGTCTTCAGCAAGTACTTTTAAAATTTAATCTGAATTAGTTTCATTATATTGGCGAACTGATTTTTAATTTACATTATACTTTTGGCACAAACCGACTGAAAATCACTCAGAATCACGAAACATCATCAAATAATCTTCTAGACTTGTCGTGTTTCACCACAGATTCACTATTACCAATGAAAAAATCACTATTTAAAATCCATAAGTTGCATAGGTCACTGTCCAAAAAAAAATCACTACAACATTTCAGCACTAGAGGAATACGTTGAGAAAATGCACAAGAAAATTGATGTTGAATACACTATACTTACCAGTTTTACAAACATGTTGCTAAATAGGTCGACAACAAGTGTTCTCTGGGTGGAAAATAGTTTATTTATATCAGAACCACACCCTGTATAAAGGTAACATGGTAATAGTGGTGACATTTTTTATGTTATTGCCATTCCCACGTGAGATTGTCATGGTTCGCTAGTAAGAGGGGTTGCCAATTATATTGGCGAACCTTAGTTTTGTAGGTGTTTTTGTATTTATATAGTATTTAGTTTCTGTGATATTTAATATCCGCCATCGGTCGATAATTGGGCGCTTAAAACTTTTCTTTATTATAATTTGTTTATTTATCAGATTGATTGTAAGTGCGATTAGGCAAATTGCGTCGTAAGTATGATGCAATTATGTGTTTGATTTCTGTTAGAACAAAAACTCAATAGGGCCCAGTCGGGTTTTGAAATTTTGTGCCAGATAATTAGTCGCTTTGGTTAGACTTTTGAATAACAGTTTTTTCGTCCAACTGCTTTCGTTTAACTTTACTGTTCGTTGATTTTTGAATCATTTGTTGTTTTCAACTTTACACTTATTAACCTCTGTTTTTGTGTAGTTTTGTGTTAAAATTTAGATGGATTCTGTGGATATTAATCCAATTGCGTTGAATACAATAAAAGTGCACTTTAAAATATGATGTTATTTGGAGTTTTTTATTCTTGACGCGAAGAAAATTTTTTTGTTTTATTTTTATTTTTCTTGTTTTATATTTATGACCATTTTTCATCAACATCCAAGGACTATTTTTTTTAGTTGTGTATGCAATATAAAATCATCTGCTTTTTTGATTGAAACGTCTTCGTTTATTTTTCAGTAGATTCTGAATCTGATCTGAAAAAATATTCTAAAATTGTTTGAAGATTAATCTGTTACACCAAAGAACCATTCAAAAGCAAGTAGATCCGCATTAAAATTTAAAACAAGTAGCTTCCATCCGGATGAAATCCTACATAGTTTTTACCATATCCTCCTGTTTCTACGCCCATGGGTAACGCATAAACACATAAAATCCAAGTAATACTGCCTCACCTAACACAAGAATTCCAAATTAGATTTTTTTCTGAATTGCCTATAGACCGATAGTTTTATTCCAGTTTGGAAATGAAATGAATATTCTAATGGTGGCAATGGAGTGTGAAACCTTGGCAGACTTGAATGGTTTTCTATCGGTGAAGTATTGCATGCAACCATGGTCTTTCAGTTAATATATGGTATGGAATATTGATCATTTTCAATGGTGTAGATTTCATTTATTTTTGGAATATTTTACCACATCAAAAATATATTTAACCACTATTATATTATTTTTTTATTAGTTTTTATATCTACTTTCCTGGCTGCTATTTTGCCAGGGTTTTACTTCCAAACATCTCACATTACTTATTATGTAATTTATATCCAAATACATTAGTCTGAGTTTATAGTCCAAATTTCCAATCGTCCCGGAAAGTTAAAAACCCAAATTTTATCTTTTTGGAAGAAACAACATTATTTTCCCAAGAAAAAAATTATATGATCAGATGATTTTTTCAGCACATTTTTAGATATGATTGCTTTACTCACTATATTTTTCCAAAAAAGTATCTCAATATTTGGCGAAAGGGGCCTTTAGGCCCCATCGGGTCCCCTCGCAATACTACAATATATATAATACTACAATATATACATCTATCTATTCATATTATCATCAATACATCTCAATATTATTTTCAACAAATCAGTAACTATTTTTGAATTTTACATAGAATTCAACTTTTTCATTGGATTCAATTTTTTGTCTCATTGCTGTTCGAGTCTGCATTAGATTTTGTCTGAAAGTAGAATTAATAATTTAGAAGTTGAGACTATAATATATAAAAACTAATAAGTTATTATTTATCTCGCAATAGATCTGTTTTTAAACTTCAATTGAAGTTTGGTTGTAGTACCTATTGCCTGTTTAATTACATTAATACACATTTTGCACCGCCAGAGAAAAAGCGTTAACATTTTTAAATATATTAGATTCGGTTTATTTAATTTTATCAAAACCTCAAATATGAAAAAGCAGATTTTTATATTTAAATACTTTCACAATTATTGCAACTGAATTATGTTTAATTGTAAACACTGTATACGAATATTTTGAAGTAAAATGTTGCGGAGACATGGATATAAAATTTTAAACTCATATTTTTTTACTGAAAAATGGTAACTAAATCGTTTTTCAATTGTACGCGATTTGGTGGATTTCAATTATTACTCTTTTGCATTAATAAAGGTGGTCGTCGAACAAACATCCTTCAAAGTTAAATTAATTTTATTCAAATAAAAAGGGAATAAATAAAAAAAAATATGATAAAGCAAGTTTGAGCTCAGTTATGTCTTTTGTGCGTCGCCCAAGGGTGTGGAAAAGGTGTTGCACCTTTCACGTTCGCATTCATTTTTTAGATTGTCATGTTTTCCATAATCGGTCATTGTTTTAGAAAATGCGGTTAGCTAGTAGGAGTTGATTATAATTTCAGAAACTTTTTTTATTTGAACGCAAATTATTTTATTTTACGTATAGAAGACTTTGGAACAATACTAGTAATTGTAGCACAGTCTCCCAGAAATATTATGTCGCTTTTCCTGCGCCAATTTTTATTAATCTCTTTGCGTGAAATAAATAGCTGTGCTGACAATAAATTTTTTTAATTTCGGACTTTTACATTTGGAATATATCGGAAGCCGGTCGGAATAGTTTTAGTGAACCCAGAAAAATCGCAAAAGTGTTCTGCGTAAACTTTGCAACTTATCAAACATGCGGGTACTACTATAATTGAACATCGAACACAACATATTTTTCTTGAGGTTTTAATTTGACAATACTCTTGCTTCTAGAAACATTTCGTTTTTCTTAGAAGGAGGTTAAATAATTAATTATTTGATAAATTTCCACTTTCTAGCGCAAAGGTATTTTCTAGTATGCTTCAATTTGAAATAAATGTTTTATTTACACAACGTTCTATAAAATAAAAACATATGAAATGTAATTTTTTTCTTAATTCCGTTTATTATTACCTACCTTGATTAATCAAGGAAGACCTTCGGCATTGATACGGAACTAATAATCCCTCGTTTATGAAATGCGTTTTTTAGCAAGCTTCCCAGTTTTCAACTCTAACAAATTTGTCTGCTACTGCGCTTCTACCATTGTATGACTTTATCATGTTTGGCTCTCAATTTTTTTCAATTGTCACTATATTTATATGCCTATTTATTTTTTTACGTTTTTTTCTTTAGTTTTATCACTAATAAATTTAAAATTAATTTTCTGAAAGTGTTTCTTCTTATATATCCCCACTAAGTCTAAGACCAAGTTGAAATACATCGAATATTAAAACGAAAAAGTTAATGTTTCAAGTTTTCCTAGTTGGCTTCTATTATTTGATTTAATAAATCAAAGCATTTTATATCAAACAATATAATCTCTAATTTATACAATAAATATTCACAATTAATTCGAATTTATAAATTTATTTGCAACCTAAGAGTGGCAGAAAGGGTAGTTGGGGCACACATTGGCATCAACCCCTGCGGGCAACTGTACAGCAGGAACTGGTTCCGAACCAGCAGCCAAAGAATTAGCAACTGGGCTGTAAGATCTGCTTTCATGAACTGGAGCCGGTTGCTGGAGGTACTGAGGAGTATACAGCGAAGCCTGAGAATGTTGGGAACCGCTTGCGGATGGCCGCTGGTAGTACTGAGAAGCACGTACACTTTGAGGAGCTGTGATGTATTGAGGTGTAGAGATGTATTGAGAAGCCGCTCTTTGAGCCCCATATTGAGCACCCTGGGCTTGCGTAGTGTACTGAGAAGCAGCTTGTTGAGCTGGATACTGAACAGCAGATGGCTGAGTGATATATTGAGAAGCAGCACGTTGAGCTGTGTACTGGACAGCACCGGGTTGCGCTGAATACTGAGATGCGGCTTGCTGAGCTGGATATTGGACAGAACCAGCCGATGGCTGTGCAGAATATTGAGCAGCGCTTGAAGATGGCCGGGAATATTGAGGAGATGCCGATTGCTGACCAATGTAACGGGCGTTAGCTGAAACATTTGCTGATGTAGTTATTATTCATTTAAACGGTTTGAGTGAAAAGCTGTGGTTTAAAGTGTGCCCTTTAATGAGAGTTGTCTGGAAAGAAAATTTCATTGATAATTGTTATACGGCATTAAAACGAATAGTTTCTACACAAATTACTCAACTAGATCTTTTTAATTAAACATGACGAGCTTGCGAAGCTCGGCATTAAAAGAGTTTTTTAAATTGCTGTTAGTTGCATTTTGCATTCGGTAATTTTTCTCTTATATTATATATCTCTTATATTTTTAAACATAAAATTGGGCGAAATGTGTATGTATACAAAACGTTGTAAGAAGAAAAATTTAATTTGAGTTAACTAACAATGTATGCAATATGTAATCGAAGTAAAAACATATATGCAATTACAATAAACACACTTACCAATGCTATAATAAAAAATGTGACAAAAAGGGGTTTTTTATCTCATTTTCTATTTTGCTTCCCCGCCCGAGAGTCAATTTCACTCTGAAGTGAATTCTCAGTTTGATCAAATTTTTCGGAAATCCATACATGCCATTTTTAGAATCCCGACGTCTTCGTCAATCGAATTGTTTGATTAATTTTGAAAGAGGGTTGAACTTAAAATATATTTTTTACTTTCTATGTCCAACGCACTCATAAAATTTATTACTTTTCCAATGACTTCTTCAGTAATCACTTTGAACTGTTTTTATTCCACGGCCAATAATGTTCTATATTAGGATTATTTTATAAAGTTACTTATCGAAAAACAAGCAAAAATCAGTTTACTTTTCTCAAAAACACAACTCAAACAGTAAATGTTTGAGACTCGATATCTCGAAAAGTTTTGTCTGCTAAGTTGCAAACATCATGAAATTTTTCTCAACATCTATGAGACCATAAACAAAATTGTGTGAAACTTAAATATACAGGGTGGCAATCAAATTAGGTTGATTTACACAACCTAACAGGCAGCGTTCTGTTCAAGATTTGGAATAAACAATAAACAAAACTCCCGATCTAAAATTCTACACCTTATTCACATTTAATTGGAAAATATCTCTAAAAAGCGCACAAAAAATATTTTACTAATAAACATAAAACTAAGAATTTGTAAATTGCTCTTAATGGAGAAAAAACTATATATTTTCGTCGTCCACTAAGTGATTGTTTAAGATAAATCGTTCAAGAAATAATGTAAAATAGATCTTGCAAGAAGTTTTCTGATTCAGAAATGGTTCATAAATATTACAGCTAATTTAAACGAATAATTAAATATTTGATAAAATTGGTTTCTGTGCCGTTTAAAGCTGTAAAGTCGTCAACACGTTTAATGGAGTTTTAAAGTTTTTGAAATAAATACGACAACAAACTATCTAAAAACGATTTCGATACAGGCAAATTCCATTCAGAAGAGTATTCCAAGAAAATATCGGCCTTCCATAAACGAAAGTGGTTTTGCTTCTTGCTGCTGTTTCAGAATACCGCAATTATTTTCTGCATATTTCATGTGAATTTGATCTCGAAGGCAAATAGTGTAATGGCCACCATGTCGTTTTTCTAAAACCTTGCCTTTAATCGTTGTTGGTGCATATTTTCTTATTTGTTTGAATATTTCAAATGGCAATAAGTTTTTCAGAGTTTGTACAATATTGATTGAGCTTTTTTTAAAAATAATATAGCAATTATCAGAAATTCGTTGAGTCATAGAGTTTCACTTTCAAAGTATTCTAAAAAACCATTAGTAAGTAAATCATTACAATCTTAGCATACGCAGTCTATTGCCCTTGATGTTGCAATCTTAACGCAATGCTGAACATTTTGCGCTGATATTTGAAAGGACATATTAATTAAGATACAAAACGTATTATTAATGATATTAGGTATAACAACACCGAACAATTCCTTCTGGTTCCCTTTTACTTTTCAACTGTTCATTCATTTTATTTATGTATTACCTGCAACTTGTGGAGCTAGCGCGTCATCCAAACCTTCTCCATGATAGTCTCCATCTCCAATATATTCTCCACGGTCTAGCTTTTGCTGGATATCTGGAGAGTATTGACTTTCTGCTCTGGGCGGAGCTTGTGGCGCATTATCCACCTGAAAAGCAATTTTCAGTTGTTTGGGCTCGAGTGAAAAACTAACAAAAAATGTTACATTTTTACAATGGTTTCATTACCCAAATACTCAACATAATTGCTGCACAAAAGCTTTAACCACAGCATTTCAACAGATAAACGAAAATTATTAAAGAAGTTGGTCGGCGGATGGCCAAAAAAGCTGAAATTAGTGACTGAAAAAAAAATTAGTTTATCTGCTTGAGTTAAGCGGTTTTCTTGTCCTACATGTATCATTGTTCTTTCATGGTTAACCTGAAGATATTATGTAATGTTCGTGTGAAACTATCATGCTCTACTGATAATAGTTTAAGCTACTTGGTACATGTTATTTTTATTTCGCTGTAAAATTGCGATACATTTCACATATTGCAATGTTCCCGAAACGGTTTAACAATTTACGCAAATTTGCCAATTGGCATTCCTTTAAATTAAGGTGTATTTAGATAAAATATATAGAGCCACATGTCTTGCACAAAGCATTGTGTATATGTAAAATTGTGCACTAAAGTGCACCAAACGTTTAATAAGTCTTTGATTCTATTACATATTCCACAAATTTAATTTAAAGCATGGGTTTTGTGCAACAGAACTCCAAATCAGAATACAGATTAAGATTTTCTGGATAAAAACTTATACTAGCACAAGCACCAGCACCTCAAAATCAGAGGTTCTACATTGAGAAAATCTGCTTTTCTAATTTTAAATAAAATGCTGTATGTTTTTTAAGAACAATTTTGTTTAAGCTGTCAATATTTTATCTAACTTTGTAGTTGGCTAGCAATGAAAAAAACTGCTTCTTACTAGGTAGCGTGGATCAGAAGCCTTAGCAACTGCTTGCACAGTCAGGAGAGGATTTGCACAATCTGGGTAGTTGGGACACGATTGCGCATCCACACCCGCTGGGTACTGAGCTGCAGCTGGACCTGCGTTTGCTTCTTGCTGATACTGAGGCTGTTGGTACTGAGCCTGCTGTTGATACTGGGGCTGTTGTTCGTACTGAACTTGCTGATACTGCGGCCGGGAGTATTGGGCAAGGGAAAGCCCCATCGAGCAAGCCAGAACCACCTGGTAAGTTTTTAAAATTAAACTAGTCCCACTAAATAATTAATGTGTTTGCGAAAAGTGCCACCTTTCCTGTTTAACAATCTTACGAATAGTCCATTTGTTTATGCGGCTTAACGCTTTAAAGCCCTGAGATCTAGGAGTGTGTGTTTGCGAGGGCGGGAGATTTGGAGGATTAACTCCATCTGAAGCCTACATTTTCCTAATAATTCATTGTGCAAATACTTGACATCGAGTTTCAAATCCGCACATAAAGGGGCGTTTGACTAGGCGCACGTTCGATTATTTCATTGTTATGCGAATATATAATTCATCGTATTTTTGGCAAATTGTTGTTTGCGTGGGAATTACTGAATTATCTATCTGGCACGATCTTGTTGTGCGGATAAACATGAACCGTATTGTCTGTGGAAACAATTTTTCATGGGTTATTTTTTACCGATTCCAATGCCTTTTTAATTTTTTTTTCAACCGCCCAAAGAACCATATCAATTTCCAAGCGTTGGAGCTACAATAAACGATTCATATAAAAAAATTCGTTGCAGTGTCCCAGTATATTTCAGTTTACCAATATTTTCCCTCAGTTGTTATTTATAATAATAATTGAAATAATAGATTAGTTTTCAATAGAAGAACGTTGCTCTGATTCGGTTAGTTTGGGTTATTTCAACATTTATTGTTGAGCCTCATTGAAAATGTTTTGCAAATTTGAACAGAATTGATACCAATGTTAACAATTGCAACTTTATTAGCATCTTTACTGCTGCTGAACACCTTTTTTCTGAAATTATTTTAGATTCAGAGCAACCAGAGTATATTTAGTTGGGAATAATCTGTAGATTCCATAATTTTTTTTTGAACGAAAGTGTACAAATATTTTCTTGGGCAGTAGTTAGAAATCTTATAAAGACTTGTAAGTTACAAAATACACAGTTTGCAAGTTGAGTTCTAGTATGCAGGATAAATCTGATGAGGGAGTAAAACCAAGAATTTTTAAATCTGAACTAATACGTGCATTTTCTATAGCATAGACAATTTTCCTGTTCATCGTAGTTCTGGAAGACAGCGACACCGAGATAGATGATATACTTTCCAAATAAAAACAAATAATCCTAGCAATCAAACGGCACTAAACAAAATAACCAAGATGAAGTCAAATAAAATTGAAATACAACGGGAAGCCAGATAGGGCTGCATCTATAACCCTTGTTATTCAACTTTTACTCCGATCAAATACTTAAGAATGAATGGGAGAAGATATCATACTTTCGCATCAAAATAAAAGTAGAGTCAATAGCTACAATTAGCTCAACGATGTATCAATTGGAGGCATTCAAAATGTGGCTTCACAGAAGAATTATTTATATTGCTTGAACCCAACATGTTACAACGAGATTAATCTACAAACATTCAAAGGCATTCTTAGCGACCATAAAATGCCGAAAGATAAAATATTTTGGACAATTCTTCAGGAGTGATAAATATGGTATTTTACAACTTACAACGAGGCGACTTGCATAGAGGGCTGKTGAACTTTTTGGCATTGCAGAAAATAGGATGTTTCCAAATTTACATTRCSTTTATTTCTTCTATTAGTTTTTAAAAACCGTTCTATAACTTTYGAAATCATGGAACTTCGACAATTGTTTTTTTGTTAATACTTTTCAGATTTGAAAAAGGTGTCAAAAGTATTATTTACAATGTTGATTTTTAATTCAATAAACGTGATTTTTACAAASCAAYATTTTTGCAATTAAACTTACTTARAACTAGTGGACGAAATCTCGGAATTGAACTGGCAGAAACAGAAGTCAATTTGATACCATTAATGTTTATGAAACTAGTTTATGGATGTCATATCCATGCTACAAAATGCGTTCTCTTATTTATCTAAAAAATCCTTCAGCCGAAAAATGTACGGACCAAGCTGAAAAAGCACAAGTCGAGTAAATAAACCAAGACGATGTCTGCAAATAGGGAATTAAAAATAGATAAATTCCATGAAAAGCATACGATTTGCCTTATTGATAAGTAATTGGACAACCGGGACAACGGCAAAACTATTCTGAGATGGAAAAAATAAATATTAGAGTAAAACAGTCAGTCTAATTTCACCCTAGTTGAAAGCAATTCGTTTTTTGAAAAGATTGAAATTAAACAAGAATTACGAACAAATTGTTTGAATTGCGTTGTAACAGCTGCTTGGTCATGGCTGCAACACAAGAGAAATTGTTCTTCCATGCTAATTAAGGAAGTTACTCAAAGTGGTAGTTGCATCAAATGTGATGGTACAACATCAGACCGGTGCAAGAAGAATTAATGGAACTACTTCCTGATTGCTTCGATGGCTTGATAAAATAATTAATTACCTTAAAACAGAAAAAAGTTTAACTTCGTCTTCCTTAAACTTGATACGTACGTTTCTAAAATATCTTGCGTAATTCATATCAATGTAAATTGTACATTATCCATTTCTGACGCCGTTAATTTCATCATTTCCATTCACCATTACCAGCGAGCTGGCGGAGCTCATTGAACAAGTTTGAAACGAATATTTTTTTGTTAAGTAGCTGTGTTATGCGCTAAAATCAGTATGTGACGTCATTAGGTGAAATACTGACGTAATGGATTGGAGAAGAGGTTGAAACAACGACCGCAACTCGCTGGAAAATTGGGTTAACTAGGCGGGTAAAATGAGCAAAACTTTCAAACTAACAGTCAAATGCCCCAGATAAATCGATACCGCATTTGTAACTGATATAATTGTAGTGTACTAATGTTTTGCTCTCTATATTTTATATGTTGCTCGTGACTTCCTAGCCGTTACGTCTGTTATTACCTAATACATTTTGCGCTCGGTTGATTTTAAGGATCTTTTTACTTTCGATTCACATACAGACAATAATGAACAGCGTGCGGCCGGCAGTGTTTACCACATGCTATAATGAATTCGATTCACCTTTCATAATCCAATTTATTAAACTTTTTTTAAATTTCATTTTTGATTGACTTCATTGGGATTTGTCGAAAGGCCACTTTTTAATGCGGGAGATGCCTAGTTAGCAGAACGAGCGTCAATGGCCATGAAATAGAGGTAGAAGAAGTAGAGGATTTGGTGAAAGATAATTTAATAATGGTTAAATTAATCAACAACTGATAAGGCAAAAATGGAATTTGAACATTTTGAATGGATGATCAGCGCGTTGTTGTGCGAATTGAAGTGGAACCCTAACTATCGGTGCAGTTATAAAGTTAGAAATTGAGAATGTAGCCAAGTGAAAATGCGCACTTTTTGGCAGACTCGGCATTTATTTTTTGAGTACATTGGATGAGTCAATTAACATAGAAAATATTTCATCTCAACGCCACACGGTGGAGAATATAAATTGAGGATTTTACGAAACTGAAGATAGAAAGAAGACAAGACATGAAGAAGTGTTTAATTGAAGGGAGAATTTTGACAGTAATTCTAAATTATTCTGATACATTGATAATTCAATTGACGATCTGAATGTGATGTGAATCATTGTGAATAAATATGTAAGTCTTGTTCGAAGGAGTTAATAAAAAATATTTTATAATAAGGAACGTTAACAGCTGGGGAATTTGGAAATTTGGAAGTGATTTGAGGATAATGAAAACATTGGCTGTATTTGAGGACGCTACTAGAAGATAGTTTGTTTATGTTTTTATTAGTAGAATAATTGTATAAGATTTAAGATAACTTATATAAAACTTAAAATTTTTGCCTCTCTTAGAATAGAAATGTTTTACGTAAATAGGCACCGCTGAGCAGAACTTTTTAATATACAAATTTGCCAATAAAGGCGTTTTAGTTTCTGAAGTATCCTGAATGACATACTAGAAACATACCTTTCTTTGCATTTTTGAATACAAAAATACTTTCTTTTATTGACATCTTTGGAAGTAATCTGATAAACCAGCTTTTGTTCTGAAAACACCCATTTTTTTTATGGAAGATTATCCAGTCAAATGTAATTTTTTTGCATCAAACATTGCAAAAAATTTTTATTTTTTTCAGTTAGATAATTGAAACATTTAGGTGAAAATGTAAAAAAAGACATTTAAACACGCTTGACTTGTAGAAACTTTGCCAAATTATTTTATCACTGTTGTTCATTTAACGGCGTTTTAAAAAATGTCGAAATATATTTTTAACTTTCTCAAAACTCGTTTATAAAACAAGAATTTGGAAACAATATCAAGTTTCTCAAAACTCGAATATAAAATTTTATTTAACAAAATCTATTAACATAACTCTTTTTTAGGTTTGAAACCTTCTATAAATCACAATGAAATAACCTAGTTTTACTACTTTTTTGCCACTTCATTGTTTCACCTTTAGATCAAATCTGAGTTATTTTTGAATTTTAACCTAAAGATGTTAAGATCTATCCTATTCAAGAAAATAAGAAGTTTAATAGACTGACTTTTGACCATGAAAAAATACGTTATTATTTTGCGTCTTAGTTTAGTGGATTTTACTTAAACAATTACTAATGGCAAATTTCAATTTATTCGAATTTACTCCAATTTTTTTAAAACAGAGGTGAATAGACTTTCGAATTCCACTCATCTTTGTTGATTTAACGTCCTTCATATATTCAAAACAGGTTCAATTTTCCTTAGGGATTCAGTAATTTAACAAATAATTTTATGAATTATTATTAAAATCGGAAAAATTTATTCGCGATTTGCAAAGGGATTCTTCGAAATGCAAAAATGGATGAACTCAGCGAATAGAAGTTTTAAAAAAGAACACTCACTTTTGGCACATTTGGGTTAATTATGTGAAGATTCTAAGTGATTTAAATTGTGTGAATGTTTTATGAATATAATTTTTTGTTTACTTTACTTTAACAGAAAATCCAAATATTTACTTTATTTGCTGAGCTGATTTATATTAGTTTGAAATTTAACCGCCCTCTATATGAATGAACTAATTTTCCCAATCTTTGCTTGCTTAAGTTGAGTTTTTCACATAGGCAAATCAGGCAAATATTAGAGATATAAAAGCAAATACATAAATAAAGAAAATCTTAGCGTCATTAGGACCAACATATCAAAAAGAAGGAAAAATGTACACGAAAATATATTTTGCTGTATGTAAATCGACCATAAATTATTAGAAGAATTGTAAAGAAAAAATAGAATATCTTATGATGTGTGTGGATAAAAACTGAAATGAGAAAGATTTGAGTTGGACAGCTTCAATAATTACTATAAAGTTGCAAATCTGGCAAATTTGGGAAAAATGCTCATCAAAATCACTTTCACAATAAAAAAATCACTGGACTATGTACACGTTACACCGAAAATCACTATAAATCAGCGTCAACCGGTGTAAATCCACCCGCAATAGAAATCAGCGTCGGTATCTATGTCGCGATAATAAAGCATTTACTTTTCCCCGGTTGTATGCACTTCTGCACTTACCAATTTATAAAACATGTCGGTCTAGGCTTTTGACTACTACTCGTTGGTGAAATGTAAATGATGTTTTAACCAAAAATCACAGACCCATATATACCTTTCCACCCATAGGTTCGCGCTCCCATACTGAGACCGTGAACTTAAAGCCGATTCTTATGAAGATTTTTTTTTCGTCTATTTCAATGGCACTAATTAGATCAGCATTGTTTTTTATGTCATGATTATAGTTCTGTTCTTGGATTATGACGACATTCCATCAGGGAGAGCTGTGATGGATGTGTTGAAAGTAAATCATCGTTTCCTGCCTCATTAGATACAAATATGTGTTGTATGCTATTAGTTGTACGTTTATGGGATTCTTTACTTCGTTTTTAGTGTTAAGCAAAACGATCCGACAACAATTATAATTAAATGCCTACGATTCCAAGTGTGATATTAATAACATTAGTAATATCCCGGAAGTTTAATTGTTTCTACAGCTGCAATTAGTAAATTGGAAAATCGTCATGATAAAAAAGCAGTGAGCTCATTTGAGTATTATCTTATCAAAATTAATTCCTGGGTTTCAGTCATTTATTGTCTCTATTTATCAATTAAAATACGTTTCGGTGTATTTTTCCACCATCATCAGTTTTTAT